CGAAAAATAGGTGTTAACGATATTTAATAGCCGCGCCGAAGCCGTACCGCGCGCTCGTCGGCCGCCGTACACACCGCACAATCGTCGTCCGGTCGCCGCAGCAGCCGTCAGCCGCGTTCACAACGAAAACGATAGACGAACGTTACGCGTACGACACAATCGTTGTTGGTTTTCCGTTTCTCCGGGACGCGTCGCGTACCGTTTTTCGCGCACAGTGCCGTCGCCTCGCGTAACGCTGCGCGCCACCAACGTCGTTTCGCGTTATTCGTTTCTAGTGCGTTTCTAGTTTTTTTTCTTCTCCTTCCGTTTTCCCCATCACACGTAAACCCGTTCGTGCGGACCATGATGGTGTTGGACTCGGGACAAGCGTCCCCGTCGTTGCGGCTGTACGCCGCGGCCGCCGCGGCCGCGGCCAACGGTTACGGCGGCGTAGCTGCTGCGACTACCGCGTCCGGCGGTGGCGGTGCCCGCGGTGGCCAGCAGTCCGGCGTCCAGATGCCGCCGCATCCGCTGTTCCCGCACTTTGCCGCCCGTTTCCCGCACGGTTTCGCGGCCGCGGGCCTGTCGCCGTTCCTGCAGCAGCACCACGTCGAACACGCGGCCGCGCAGCGGTACGCGATCGCCGCCGCTGCAGCAGCGGCCGCCCGGAACGGCACGGTCGCCGGCCACATGTCCTCTCCGGCCGTGCACCACCACCACCACTTACATCCTAACCATCACCGGCCAACTGCGGAATCCGCCAAAAAGCGTCCGCACCACTTGACGCAGCAGCAACAGCACCACCATCAGCAGCAGCAGCAGCAGCAGCAGCAGCAGCAACAGCAACAGCAGCAGCAACAGCAGCAACAGCAACAGCAGCAGCAACAGCAACAGCACCATCGGATTATCAACATGTCGGGCAATCACAGTGATGACAGTGCCTCCGAGAATGGATCGCCAAAAAAAGGTAAGTCCTTTAATGGTTTCTTTTATTTTCAACTTTAATCGAAAACTGCCCGAAAACACAACAAATTATGTATTTCAAAAAAATTAAGAATATTATTTTTACTGTACTCTATGCTCAAAGCTAGAGTTCTTATGAAATCGAATTATCCTATTTTTTTCTCGAACTGTAGTTTGGCTGTTAATTAAACAGATTCCGACGGTGTATTTTAATACTGTAGGAAAATCTACTTTTTTTTTCGCTTCAAAAAACATGTACGTTGGCCAACCACTACCTATTTTACACAAATTTGCAAGCCTGGGCATAAACGAGTTAATAAGTTAAAAGTCTAGTAAATTTAACTTATTTCGTTGCTGATAAATTAACATAACTCATTTCATTACAAATTAACTTGAAATTATCGCATTATTTTTTTCATTTCAATTTTATTTCAGTTAATTTTGATTTTCAAGACCAGAAAAATATTTTTGTAAAATACCACATTCAATAACAAGTTCATGAAATTTAGAAAAATATAAAAATAAAATGTCGAAAAATTTTTAGATGACACCATAATATTTATCTTGGTATTAACTATTACTTGGGGTCCCACTAGTCTCGGGAAAAGTGTTCAACCCTCTTCAGATTATTGAGTAAAAATAGGCATGCCACCCATGAATTACATTACCATTGTCATGAAAAGTGGCCGTAAATCTATAATATAAAAATAGGTACATATTATCATTAACTAAATAATTCTTAATAATAATTGTACTCTATTATTATTAAATTTATTCCATAATCTATGATATTATTAAATAAGATTGATATAATTAAATATTATCGAATAAGAGAAGAAATTTAATAGCTGTTAATATATAAATCAATTATTTCAGCGCTTAATTTAAATATTTATTTTTTTTTTTTTGTAATTAACTTAACTTATTAACTAATTGAAATTCAATTAAGTTAACGACATTTTTAACTTAATTTATGTAATTCTCATGTATATTAACTTATTGAATATGAACTCTATTAACTTAACTGAGTTAAAAAATATCATGAACTTGTCCAACCTTGCAAATTTGTATACAATATAGTGTATTCTTTCCACTGCCTAATAATAAACACAGTTTTCACCACTATAAAAAATATGTTTTAGATTTCTTTTTGGTTTTGTCTGCTCAAAGAACGATGTTATAGTTTTCTATAAATTTGATTTTTATCATATTTATATTAGTTATTGTCGCGTTTAATGTTACATTTTTATACATATTTCTTATGAATTAAATATGCAATATGAATAAAGTATATATAAACATTTCGCAAACTAATCGCAATGCTAAACATCTCGATACGTTTTGCACCATATCAGATGATTTGTTCTGACATAATTCGAGTTTTGGTGATTTCATAATACCTCATTTATATCTTAAGCAGTCGATTATGTTTAATATATTAAAACATATATGTTTCTTCAGAGTTTTAATCGTGATAATTATAAGACTATCATTATTCGTAAACGGATAATAACATAATGATGAATATTATATTGCATTGTGTTGAAAAATGTAATTGGTTCATGATGCGAATAAGTTCAATAAAAAGGCGATTTGTTTACACTAAAACTAGGTGTACTTGTTTATGTAAAACCGAATAGCTGTAATAGTTAGGTACGTACATTATGCATTAAATTCTAAACACATTTTCAAACAAATATTTACACCTTAAATTATACACATTGGTGTAGAGAAATAATAAAAATCAATTGGACGCTGTTTATACTTTCGCGTATACTTATATATAATTCATGGACGTAAATTATTAGCGTGTGAAATTGAAAAAAAAAAAATATTAAATATTCTCACGAATAATAGGTTTTGAATTCAGCCCGTGTTCGCGTGATTAATATCATAACACAAAACGCTAGGTATACACACACACATCGATTTAAATACTAATATAGTAACCCTAGTAACACTTTATTAAAACGGAAAAGTGTAAAATTGATTATGAATATTATTATGTAAGCTCGTACCACCAATATTTATTTCGAATAGAATTGATGGTACATTCACATGGTTTATACCTATACTACGTTACAAACGTTAAAAATTCGTTAATCGATGAAACCGTTGAATTCTTTGTACAAATCAAACACTCAATAAAAATATTTCCATCTCGGCTTTCACAAAGTTATGAACAATACAAGTCTGTGCAAGTATACGAGTATAATATAACCTATTGCGCTTCGCATAATATACTACACAAATGAGCATATAAATATACCAAATAATAACTATACGTATAATCGATTACACACTCTATTTGAATATTGGTTTTGTTCTCCATGCGAAAAAAGCTCGTAAATACATGGTGTAAAATTAGACCGATTAATACGAAAATCGCGTGACGGAGAGAATCCGAAAATAAAAGGACTGTTATGTATAACTGCTTATACACAAGTGCACTGCATACGAGCGTTTGACATAAATGCACGTATGTATATACACATTAATGATTTAAATGCATTACACGCGTATACATTATCTATATAACAGGTATGGCCATTTGGCCGTGGGAAATCTAAACGACCGGAAAGGCGCTTCTTTCCAAAACAGGTGTCAAAAAATGTTTCTAATTCTTCTGTGTAATCCATCATGAATATATATCCGAATGCTGTTTTAAATAATACATACACCGGCCGGCACCTGTAAACTAGGAAAGCCCATACAAATGTCGAGGATCGCGTTCTTTCAATCTTGCCCGGCAGTCGGTAATATTCGAAAAGAACAGTGGGCAGTTTAACTGCAATCATATCACATTACAGCGCACAACAAATATGTATATTGCATAAATTAGCCGAATTTCACGCGTTCAACAGTATTTTTAAGTTCTCGGTATTTTAATATCATCGTCGTAACTTTCAGTTATAATGTTACAATAATATTTTGTTAATTTAACAATTCGTCGTACAAACAGTACTTTATACATTTGTAGTTGCATTAAGTGCATATTATTAGGGATGCCAGATTTTGAAATCCCTAGACCGAGACGCCATATCGAATGACTTTCTTTTTTTTTGTTTTTTTTTTTTTTTTGATTTAACGTTAACAGGGATACAAAAATTGATTATTGTTGTACATGACCGTGCCGATTAGATAACCATTTTATAACGATATGATGTACAATATTTTTCTGTTTTATTATTGAATTATACAACATTAAACGTTATTTTCTCACCTTCTATTAACCGAGACAAACCGAAAGATCGGTCGGGACACCGGTCATGCCTTTAAAACCTGGACGAATGGCAAGCTCAAATAATATTCATTCAATTCTTATATCATTATAAACCCTCATGGCTGCAGCGCGCGTACATGTGTTAATTGACATTTTTTTTTTTTTAACAGAATATAGTGTTTTTTATACATTATATGAATTAAAAAACTCTTCATTATAACGCACTAATCATCTCCTAATCAATAGCATGAGTACAAATTATACTACTCGAGAAATTCGTTATCACCAGCTTTTGTACAACCTGTTTAGGTACCTACATATAGAGTTTCCGTAAGAAAAAATTTAAACACTCATTCCGATATATACATGTACATCGATTTAGAGTCTTAATTTTTCTGTAAAAGGGGGAAAATATTTCTGAGTAAGATCGATGAATATTAAATCATTATAAAAAAATGAATAATATCATACTTTGTTACACATAATATATTATCCATAGGCATAAACAAAAATATTTATTTATTAAATGCATCGATTTCATTATACAGCTATTATATTAATTATACTCCAATCCATTTATGCGTTAATTTGTACATATACATGTATATATAATTAACCCACTAAATTTTTAACCGCAGTAACATTGTGCTTATAAACTATAATAATAATAACTGTTATAAATAAAAAATAATTGAACATTTTAAAGAAGCATAAAAAACTAATAAAATAAAAGTAAATTAATATGAATTACATCGTCCGAGTAATAATTGACTACTTATATAGGTACAGGTATAATCATTATGTTTTAAGATAACGTTAAAACGTTGTTAATTTACATAAAAACAGTTGGCTTTTATAATACAGCAAAAATTTATGTCTCTGAAATTTTGTCTTTGCATTTATTGAAATTCTTTAAACGATAAAAAGTAATATAAATGTGTTGTATACTATTTTAATACATATAGACCTATTACTCTGTATGGATGTATATTAGATTTATATCCCATTTATAGTCTATAAACAATTTCATATTTAATATGGTATACCTAAATCTAATATTGATCTAATTAATATTGTTTGTTATCGTAATGTAATGATTATTAGTATAATATATCAAAATTGTATTATGAAGAAAAGAATATGTTCAATAACATTATTAATATTGCCTAATCAATATTAATTATCATATGCAAGCTACATGTTTATCAGTGTTTTATTATTTTTCCGGGTTGTATTAGGTAATTAATAATTATGAGTTAACCGTTCAATACCATCTAAATGGTGAAATAATTAATACGATAAAAAAATATAGATCATATCAATAATAATAAAATCACGTGAACCTTTGCAGCAAATGTTATCAAATATATAATTTTTTTCTCCTCATAACGTATAACCAAAATTAAACGAACACTTAAAACAATCAATTATTTATATGCACATATTTATATCGTATTGTCCTACTCTTGTCTCTTTTATTATATTGTTTCTTGGATTAATAGTTTTGTAATTATTATTCATATTAATTTTTGTATATTTCTTATTGTATACTGTACCAAATTTATCATAATTGTAAACTCTTACTGCTGTAATTTAAACCATTTGTTTAAAGACTTCGTCCGTTTAATTATTATAAATAAATAAATAAATAAATACGTCATTATATTGGTATATGTGTATACTTATTGTATTACATTATAAATAGGCGGTATACATGAATACAATTATAGATTATAAAAAGAAACTAATGATTTTCCTCTTTAATACATCTAAAAGATCTT